TCACTAAAATTAATGTTGCTTCGGTGTGTGACTTTGCTAAAACCATGTCGGACTCCGTAGTTTTCTCCGGCCCCCTCCCCAACCTGACCAGCGATGACATGTTTAGCCGTATGTCGTGGTTTAACCGCTGGGTGTCCAGGTGGTGTTCTGACAACGACATGGGCTACATAGATAACTGGAGCTCTTTCTGGGGAAAACCTGGTCTGATGTGGAGAGATGGTATCCATCCCACTTTGGACGGAGCCGCTCTTCTTTCTAGAAATATGGCTGATTTTGTTTATCCCCCAAATTATTGACAACCCAGGGTCCAGTCCAGGAAGCAGAGGTGTAGTCCTCCACACCTCTCTGCTGCTTCTCCTCTGTTACCCACCCACACCCCCATTGAAACAGTGTCAACTCGCCCACAACTCAAATTAAATAAACAAAAAATCAACTCTAAAAATATAAACCATAAAAATCTGATTAAAATAAACAGTTACTTTACCAGAGCAAAATCATAAAATCATTAAATGTGGATTATTGAACATCAGATCTCTTTCCTCTAAATCCCTGTTAGTTAATGAACTGATAACTGATCATCATATCGATTTATAACTTGCCTACAACAGGAGGATTTTGTTGGTATAAATGAATCCACTCCTGTTAATTATTTAAATTTTCATGTTCCTAGAACAACTGGCCGAGGTGGAGGAGTAGCTTCTATTTTTCAGTCAGGATTATTGATTAATGCCAAACCAGTTATTAGTTATGATTCTTTTGAATCTCTGTCCCTCAGTCTTTCTCATCCAAAATGGAAATCAGAAAAGCCACTTTTACTAGTTGTTATATATCGTCCACCAGGCGCTTACTCTCAGTTTTGTCTGAATTCTCAGAATTCTTAACTGACTTACTATTAAATACTGATATCATCATAATGGGTGATTTCAATATTCATGTAGATGTTGAAAGTGATAGCTTAAGCATAGCCTTTAATAATTTAATAGACTCGTTTGGTTTTACCCAAAACGTCCACACATCTACTCATTCTTATCATCACACTCTTGATTTAGTTCTGACCTATGGTATAGAGATTAAGGACTTGGTAATAGTTCCTCAAAATCCTCTTCTGTTCGACCATTTTTTAATAACCTTGAGTTTACATTAAATGACTACACAGTCACAGAGTAAATTTCATCTCAGCAGGTGCTTATCAGAAAATGCTGTAACCAAATTTAAACAATCTCTTCCATCAATGTTTTCCTCTGTCTTGCAGAGTAATGCATCAGAGAACAGAGACTTAGATCATCTAGTTGATCATCTTACAACTTCAATGCAAACTTCACTTAATAAAATAGCACTGAAAAAGAAAGTAATCAATCAGAGGAAACTGGCTCCTTGGTTCAATTCTGAGTTGCGTACTTTAAAGCAGGCATCTAGAAACCAGGAGAGAAAAGGGCGCTCTACTAATGTTGAAGAATTTTATTTAACTTGGAAAGATAGTCTGCTAACATATAAAAAAGCTCTCCGTAAAGCTAGAACTTTATATTACTCATCTTTAATAGAGGATAATAAAAATAACCCCAGGTTTCTGTTTAGTACTATTGCTAGACTAATTAAAAGTCCCATTTCTGTTGAACCATGTATCCCTACAACTATAAGTAGTGATGACTTCATGAGATTCTTTATAAATAAAATGATTTCTAATAGAGTGAAAATTCAAACCATCCTTCCTTCTACTATCTCTAGTCCCCTGTCAAATGAGAAAACTTTAAACATTTCACTAGAGCCTGATTTATGTTTGGACAGTTTTTGTCCTGTTGAGCTCTGAATTGTCAAAAATAATAACCTCATCCAAACCATCCACATGCCTGCTAGATCCCATCCCAACCAGACTGTTTAAAGAGGCATTTCCCCTAATTAATGTCCACATTTTAGATCTACTTAATTTGTCTTTAATGGATGGTTATGTACCACAGAGCTTTAAGGTTGCTGTAATTAAACTTTTACTTAAGAAGTCTGATCTTGATTCAGAAATTCTGGCCAACTATAGACCTATATCTAATCTAACTTTCATCTCAAAAATTCTAGAGAAAATAGTTGCAGGTCAGTTGCGTGAACATCTACAAAGAAATAATCTGAAGAGTTTCAGTCAGGGTTTAGAGCTCATCATAGCACAGAAACAGCACTATTAAAAGTCACTAATGATATTCTCATGGCCTCAGACAATGGACTTGTGTCTATACTGGTCCTGTTAGACCTCAGCGCTGCATTTGATACAGTTGATCACAATATTTTACTACAGAGGCTTGAATATGATATTGGGATTACAGGAATGGCTCTAAAGTGGTTTAAATCATATCCATCTGATAGATTCCAGTTTGTAAATGTAAATAATAAATCTTCTTCATACACCAAAGTTAGTCATGGAGTTCCTCAGGGCTCAGTGCTTGGGCCAATACTCTTTACTATATATATATGCTTCCATTGGGTAAAATTATTAAACAGCATGGGATAAATTTTCATTGTTATGCTGATGACACACAATTATATTTGTCCATTAAACCCAATGAATCCAATCAGCTACTTAGACTACGAGCATGTCTTAAAGACACAAAAACCTGGATGACCCTTAATTTTCTCCTGTTGAACACAGACAAGACTGAGGTTTTGGTTTTTGGACCTGAGCACCTTAGGAATGAATTTTTCAGTCTTTCTCCCTCCTTAGATGACATTAATCTGTCCTCCAGCTCTAATGTTAAAAATATTGGTGTTATTTTTGATCAGGACATGTCTTTTATCCCCCACATTAAAAACGTTACTACAACTGCCTTCTTCCATCTGCGTAATATCACTAACATTAAAACATCTTATCTAAAACTGGTCCATGCATTTGTCACGTCTAGACTGGACTATTGCAATGGTTTATTATCTGGATGTCCAAATACTTCTTTAAAACGTCTTCAGTTGATCCAAAATGCTGCTGCTAGAGTCTTAACTGGAGTTAGTGGGAGAGATCATATTTCTCAAGTTTTAGCTTCTCTCCATTGGCTCCCTGTCAAGTCCAGAATAGAATTCAAAATCTTACTTCTAACCTACAAAGCTCTCAACAACCTAGCTCCATCTTATATTACAGATCTTATTGTTCCATATTTTCCCAACAGAGCACTTCGCTCTCAGGCTGCAGGCTTACTTGTGGTTCCTAGAGTTTCCAAAAACAGAATGGGAGGAAGATCTTTCAGTTATCAGACTCCTCTCTTGTGGAACCAACTTCCGATCTCTGTCCGTGAGGCTGACACATGGTCCAGTTTTAAAACTAGGCTTAAGACTTTCCTTTTTGATAAATCCTATAGTTAGGGTCGGCTTGGGTTTCCTGAGCCGTCCCTTAGTTATGCTGCTATAGGCTTAGACTGCTGGAGGACAAACTGACCATACTTTTTGCTCTGCTACTGTCTTTATTTACTCTGCTCAACCTGTTTTGTATTTGTAATTATTTTTTCTATCCTTAACATGTGTTTTTTGTCTTCAGATACACCTGGACCTATACCTGGACCTGGACCTATACCTGGACCTACCATTCTGTGTTCGTCTGTCTCTCCTTCCTGTCCTCTCAACCAGCCGGTCAAAGCAGATGGCCTCTTGTCCTGAGCCTGGTTCTGTTGGAGGTTTCTTCCTGTTATAGAGAGTTTTTCCTTTCCACTGTTGCCACTGTGCTTGCTCAGGATAGGAGACTGCAACGAAGCCAAGATTCAACTTGTCTGCTGGATTCCTTAGATAGAGAACTTTACTAATTGGCTTTTATGTGAATGTTCCTGTAAAGTGCACTGAGACAACTTTGTTGTGATTTGGCGCTATATAAATAAACTGAATTGAATTAATAAAGACTGATGTGTTTGAGTAACTTAAGTTATTATTTACAGACACATTCTTAATGGGTCAGACACAAGAAAAGATAAACATATGTAAAAATACAGGTTTACCACAACAGGAAGCTATGGTAACTCTACTAGGACAAACAGCAGAGCACAGCAACTATGACTGTTTTAAAATGGTAGCGCAAATTATTGTTAGCAGAGCAAAGTTTTTACGTTTGAAAACGTATCCAGAATTTTCCATTTTCTAAATGCCCCATGAAGTAGTTTGCCTGCCACCCCTTAGTCTTGAATCTTGACTGCTGTGACACTGGGTCACAAAGAATCAGTGGAGTCATGTCCTCTTTGGTGACGGGTCACTGGAGTACATAGACGGTGCTTCCTGCGTCCATACGAGACTGTAACATTTCCCATTGGTGCGGTGGCACACAGTAGGCACACTCAGTCCGAACGTGAGAATGACTGAGCATTGTTCCCGCTGGTCATATTGGGCCTGTTATCAGCACTATCAGTCCTAATACTCCGGCTCGCATTGTGGTGGGCTGCTCCGTTTATTTAGATTCAGCTGCTAACAATGAAAACATTGCCTCTGCTCCGACCGGGGCACAAACACACGGAAAGCAATAATAATAAAGAAGGAGCAAGAAAAAGTGTACGTATAAATAGTAAGGGGAAGTGACTGCGGCCGAGCAGGGAGTAAACAGACAAAAGCATGAATGACGAAGTGAACAATTGATTTGAAGTACCTGGCAGAGCGACAGCAGTCAGTCTCTGCTATACCTTGAAATCTTTCTGGCGTCTGAAGGTCAGCGAGTGTGTGCACATGTGTGTGTGTTTATAACCGCTTCTCAGAGGCAAGGGAGGCTGTGTGACAGGTGAGGGCTGATCTCATTTCGATGGAGGTGAATTACGCTTGTTGTGGTTGGCTGATGTAACTGTAGTGCAAAGTGGAGGTTTTCACACAGCTGCCAAATGAGCCGCTTTAATCAACCGCTGCTGAACCACATGTGGGAGAGAAAAAAAAATCCAAAGGCCAACACTCGCACGTTTTCCCAAAAAATCAAGCGCTACCATCTGAAAAAATGAGTGACGCTCTAAAAGCGTGTGCACTATCAGTTGGTTGAACGTGTAAAAGTGTGAATCCCGTTTTACCTGACAGAGCATCCTGAGCCTCGAAGAACGTGCTGAGGCCTCCTTTCACGTAACCCAGACTTCCCTCGTTCTTCTTTGTAGCTTGTTTTTTCAGATTATTGCCTGCAGCCTTCAGGTGCTCAAAACTGTTCAAAAATAAAAACAAAATAAAAAAAACAGAGTCAAATTGCCATTTGATCCACAAAAAAACAAAAAAAACCAGATCACACTCTGTTTTAATTAAAAGTCCAGACTTCTTCGAAGGAATGCACATTGCTCACCGCCTTTTCATGCCAGAGTTTTAAACTAAAATAACCTGACGCTTTGGTCAAACCTTATAAATGACATTACGCACACACTCACGTCATGTTGCATGAGCTCACGTGATCTGATAGTTGTTGAAGTACATGTTGGGAATGACTCCTAAAGGTGACCGCACCGAGTTTTAGCTAAAAACCTGTAAAAATGAACGACGTGTCACCGTTTTTCTAATCGCTACAACCGTTTCTTAGCTAGGGCGGTCCACTCGAGAACGGGGTTGACTCCAAAGTTACTGACTTCAAGATGTTCATTTAGTGAGTATTTTCAATAAAATCCATCAGGTGGTTCACTGGATATTTTGCTAACGGTGCTAATGAAAACAGTCGCGCACACAGACATGAACATGAACATGAACAAACTCATTATCACCTGTGGAGCCAAAGTGAAAAAGGGACATTTAAACAGAAATGCTGCAAGTTTAAAAACAAAACTTCTGCGTGTCTAAAGGCATCTGGAGCGAGGATGTGTATCTGTGTGTCGGAGTCTTGAGTGAGGTTTCCTCTGCAGGAAGAAACAGTCACCCAGTGAGGTCCAAACAGAGGCCCCTGGTCATTCTGGATCCTTGGGGTCTGGGTTACTGGGAGGCTAAGCAGGGGGGACAGGAAGCCAGGAGTGTCCAAAATAACTCTCCTCTGGCCCGACATGACAGCCTTCTGGGTCAACAGGGTGCCTTCTTTACACACCTCACTGTGCTATGAACCGACGGTGTAGAGATTTAAAGAATAAAACAATTTATTAAAAAATGTCTAATATACAGTTGTTGCCACGTGATGTCTGTTACACAGTAAACTGGAAAAGTTTGTGTTTCGGTTTAGTGCCCCGAGACGACTTCTGTTGTGACTTGGCGCTATATAAAAAAACTGAATCGAACTGAACAGAGAGTGCCTCACAACTGGTGAAAACCCCAAAACTGAATGGTTAAAAGTTAAAAAGAGCCAAACAAAAAAGGTAAAATCAGCTAAAAAAAAAAAAAAAAATCTAAAAGTGAAAACCTAAAAAGGTAACACTAGCAGAAAAGTAGCTAAAAGATAAAATGAGGAAAAATAAGACAAAATAAAACTACAACTCTAAAACTAGAGAAAATGTAACTTAACTAAATATGAAAAGCGTAAAAAAAAAGAGCTTTTATGAGAACCCAGATGTCCGAGCACGGAGTGAGCACATATAAAAATGTATTGTTTTACGAGCATCAACGTATCAAATTAGTCGAGAGACGCCGTTGAATGGAGCGTCAGTCAGCGCCCAGCTGCTGCTAATAAAGCAGTTTAAGCTTTTAGCGCAAATCATTTAGTGCTTTATCATTCACCCACGTCAGCGCTTTAGTATTTTCTTTACTTTTTAAATGAAGAGTTGGGCATTTACGTCCAGACTTAACCATTTCAGTTCAATTATCTGCAGAGGATGACATAAAGCAGAGAACTAAAACATGTGCAGATACAAAGAATGGTTTCTGATTACTTCAGAGTAAATATATTCTTACAGTAAGAACAGATACAAATACTCATCAGTGCAACCCTGCAGGAAACTGCAATACTTCCAGACTGGCTACAGTTCTCACTGCCGTCTTTGAGTGTTGTAGTTACACGCCACATATTTTCCATTGAGACTGAATAGAAACTGTTATTGAGAACACGAACACCTGTCACTGATTACTACAGCCAGCACGAGAAGAGTGCGAACGCGTCAGGGAACTTGAATTCATCAGGACCGATCTGGTGACGCTGACGCTTTTGTAGACGGTGACGTCCTCAGTCCTAACGTTGGGCCTACCTGGTCCCTGCGTGGTTTTCGATGAGGTACCAGGTTGCACAGAAGTTCTCACTGGTGAAGTCTGCACTCATTCCTGGGAATATTGGTTCCAGGTCTTTGTGTGGGACGTTGCCTCTGCGAGGAAACAAACGCAGGCGTACGTTATGAAAGCAAATTAAATAAAAAGCTTCTAAGAACCAACAGTTTTTGCGAGAGAATTCACCGCAAATCGAGTAAAATTGTGTGTTTGACGTGACATTAGGGTCGAGTTGTCCAGCAGGGGGGGGTGTGTAGCCAGGAAGTGCTGAGGCTGGGAGAGGCTGGCGTGGGAAGTGCAGTGTGTGACGCCTGGGTGCCCCTGGAGGACCCAGTTCTCATTAGGGAAGCTTGATCTCTACTAATGACCTGTGGTCTGCACAAACCGAACCCCCCATCACCGCCATCACCACCCACTCTGCAGTTACACAAAAAGGTCGAGTATTTGGTTTTTGTGAAACAAAAAAAAAATACAGCTATAATATTAACTCTGGAGATGTTCACACAAAAAAACCCACAGAAACCTCCTAATTTAGATTTGTTATGTACTTATTTCCTTTTTATGCACATAAACAAAAACAAAATATTTCAGCATTTCTGATTCAAAACGTATAATTTCCACATTTAATAATGCGATTGGGATTTTTATTATATTTTTAATTAGCAAGTTTGTCAATATAACTAAAAGAAATGCTTCAAATATTAAAACTGTGATTACAGACACGAGTGAGGTTTGATGGTAAATGTTTAACACAAGTAGTAAAGTTCTTCTCAAAACAGTGTCCCTCATTTTTAACTTAGTTTTTTCGTTCAAATAAAATAAAGTTTGGAAAGGACATTCCAAAATAAATAAATCTGATCATCCAAGTTTAAAGGAATATAACGTAACTTTGTATCTTTTACAGCATATTTGTTGAAATGCAACAAGACATTATTGATACCTTACAAGAGTATTATCACATTTTAGGATTATTGAAATAAAAAATATAACAAAAGGTACATTTATATATCTAATGTGGGAGTTTTCAGATCGATTTTAGTAATGAACTTATGTGTAAATAAGAACAACAAAATCAGCTGAATTTAACCTACGAAAATTATGTTTACGGTGTTGGAAATGATCCTCATGGAAGGAAAGACACTACTGTTTCTGAAATATCAATTTTAACATAAATAAAACGTAATTAGGGTCAGTTTTTAAAAAAAATTTAAATTCTCAAAACAAAATAATGTGCTGAAATCTAAAGTCAAGTGAAAATTTAATCCTAAAGCAAATTTTAAAGGATTCAAAATCCTGTATAAAGTAGAAAAAAACAAAACTCATAAAATAAATGAGGATAATTACATTATCCAACAACTAAATGAGGATATCGTAAGACGTGATTTCAACTAAGAATGTGAGAATATGTATTCCAGTTAATAACACAAGTTTAACTAAAATAATCTATAAATAATAGCTTGTGAAAACAATTAGATTTGTTTAAGGGTTAAACTGTTTAAAATGAAGCTTCTTGTAACAAAAATCTTCACAATTTTATCATTTTAAAGACTCAGACTTCCATATGGATAATTTTATTTTAAGTCGGTCTTAACTTATGGAAACAAAACTTTAATTTAAATGAAAGGAAGATGTTTGTACTGTGATTTGAATACATATTTTTTTAGTATGTGAACTGCAAACATCATGACAAAAATAGAATAAACGGAAAAGAGCAGGAAATAAACTTCTAAATAAATTCCTCCCTTTAACAAATAAATGTATCATCTGAAAATGACCTGTCCATTTTTGTGGTTTCTGAGCCAGTTACTAAAAAATCAAGGTAGCCACACCTAAAACATAAAAGTTTAAAGCAAAATCTAACTTATATGTTAACATTTTATATTAAATATGTGTAAAAAAAAAAAAAGTGTTCTGGACAAGTGGGCAAATTGTTTTAGACAACCCGATTGTTGAACTATTGCAGAAAAATCAATGGAAAACAGAAATTTCACAAACCTTTATTTTCTGTAAAGTTTTGCTTTATAGTTTATTTAAATGTAGTGACACCTGATAAAAATACTCAAGCGCTTTAAATGAAATAGGATGCAAAAACAAAAGCTTATATTTAAAAGGCTTTTCCAGACATTTCAAGACTGTGTAACCCAGGAAGTATTACATCTCTGGCAGGTTTTATGGTTTTTGTTATGAATACTCCAAAAGTGGACGTGATTCTGTAACATTATGCCGTGAATTATCTATAAAAGACATTAAAGTTGCAGCAAAACACAATAATCTACGCACAACGCAGCAAAGCTTCATAACTCCTTGTAAAAGATGAACTGCTGGTTTTGTGCGTCTTTGTTCAGAGAGAACACTGTAGGCTCTGTGCAGGATGTTTAATGTTTCCCTGGATGTGAGGGAACGCTGCAGCCTCTTTATGGGGGTCTTGTCCGTGGCCACGAGCGGTCACTTGCCCCCGGCCCCTTTAAACCAAACAAATACAAAGCCAGAGATGCCACAAGTCGACAACACAAACTGTACGTTAGAACCTCTGCTCGCCCTGCTGGACGCGTGGGAGGCATCGCTGCGCCGCCTGCTCCGAGGACACGTACGTGTGAGGTTCTTTCCAAACGTCTTTTTATCATCCTGCTCTGTACTTCATACACAATTATGTTGTTTCCACTCCCTGCGAGGAGCGGTCACAGGCTGCCCAGACGCTGCCATGTTGGCATAATATTTCAAATGCTGGCATATGAGGAGAGTTTGTTTCTGTTTGGGGATGTAAACCATGACTCAGCGGTGAGAGCGCTTTTGTTTATGTCAGCATGATTGAGCTGTGCATGTGGGTGTGTATCTGAAGGTTTTTGATCCATACTTGTCCATCTCGATGCCCAGTGGGTTGCCGGGACCCAGGGAGAGGGGGGAGAGTCCTTTGTTGCGGTCCCTCCTCATGTCGTAGTTCATCTCATCCACCCACACCGCTGACTGTTCCAGGATACCTGCAGGCAGACGAGACGCTGAAACCCTCCAACACGTCCCAGATGTGCTCACACGCAGACACACACACCCAGGTCTGTACACGCAGTACACAAAAACACATTTATCCTATGAAAATGCTCTTAAGAAAGTTAATGTTAGCTTTGCTTTAAATGGGAAGTACAAAATGTGCTACATTAATCCCCACCCAGAGTGTTGATGAGAAGAAAGTCTTTTATTTTTTACATGTCAAGACAATTTTATTGGCAGAAAAAAGCCCCAACGCTGAGCAAAGAGAAATCTTGCTGCAAGACTAATTATGAAACAAAGAACCCCCGTCATGGTCCTGAACCGAATGTATTTGTTTAATTTGTTATTATTTTATCATCAAGTTACTGGTGCACCTTTACTGGGTTAAACATGAACCAACATGCAGTATTTTAGCTGAGCTAGTTTGAGGTGGTTTATTACTCCTGCTGCATAACTTGTTCAAGTTTTTCAAATAAGAGCCTCAAATACAGTGCTAACCTGTAAGAAAACTGTATGTGGCCATAATGTTACTTTGTAAAACCAGTAAGAAAACAGTAGTGTATAATAATGCTTTCTGCAAAATCATGAATGACTGAAGCCTTTCAGAGTAGCTAATGTTTAGAGGCTGTTAAACTGGAAAAACTAAAAGTTTTGCAAAATGTAGAGACAAAAAATAAAATGGTAATCAGGAAACAAGATCTAAAAAAAAAAGGCATTAAATTTGATTTGATGCATTGGTGATGTATGGTTTATTTTTGCAAAATAAACATTTATTTTCATCAAAATAAAACTAGAAACACCCAGTTAATTTAAAAACCATAAAATATGAGCTAACCTACAATAATGTGCTTTGTTATCATTTTAATAGATTTCCCAACTCTGTCCATTTTTTAATTTTTTCTTTCCTTAAGTTTTGTTATGAGAAGTGGAGTTATGGATTCACTGACTGCAGCCCTCCATCTACTCCTACTGTCCAGGCCAGCAAGAAACAAATGAAACTATGATGACGTCTCGTCGCTGGAGTCTCACCAATCCTCTCCGGTTTGAGCAGTTTGAATGAGACCGTTGAGGTGCCGAGACCCCCGGACTTGGTGGTGACGATGATTTCTCCCTTGTCGTCTTTGGCAGGACCCACACGGCACACTATTTTGCTGGCTGACATCCACTCGGCTGTCAGCATGCAGTTATGGCCACAGATCGACAGACCTGAGAAAGAAGGCAGAGACAGAACAAATAAACAAACTGTGGCACACACACACACACACACACACACTAATACGGCCCAAAAAAGGAGGAGCGTCCTCAGACGGCAGCGACGTCTATCAGCAAGCAAACTGTCACCAGGGGTCAAAGTTCAAGCTGGGGTCAGGATGGGTGTGGGTGGCCTTGATCTTCCTCCACCTCGCTCATCTCCTTATAGTGAATGTGTGCGACTCTTCAGTGCTAAGTGGCTCATTACTGGCACAACGTGCACTCTGCCCTTACATCTGTCAGCCTCGTTTTAAACACGCCTAAAGACTCTTTGGGCACAAGAAGAAAGAGACAGGGATTACCCTGACAGTTCCAGCAGAGGAGGTTTAAAGTACTTTACGCGTGTCATCAAACGTTAGAAAATCCCGTAAGAGCTGATCAACAAATAGCCCATAAAACCGTGAATAACATGCCCATTACGGCCTCATTTCCTGCCTCTGTTCTCCACAGGCCACTTTGTTTGAATACATAAGCACTCACACACATTTGTGCTACCAAATCGTCTAAATCACGGCCCCAGGGGCATAGATGGTCAGAAACAGACTTGTATCGTTGGCCACTGCGATGCAAGACAAGTGAGAATCATGGATTACCATAAGCTTTTCAACAGCAGAGAAACTGTCAATAGTGAGGGAATGTACTGGCAAAAGTTCACAAAAACATAATGAAACTACACTGTTGGTCCCAATGTTATTACATTAGGTTTTACATTAGAGTGCTGCTGCCAAGCTGTCCAATTAGTAAGGTAGGTACAAAGTAATCTACAGTTGTTATTGTGAAGTTTGTTGTTTGGTATTTGTTAATGATTAAGACCTAAGTAGTAATTTGCAAAATAAAATTAGATACAGTTGGTAAGTGATCCCAATTATTTTCGTCTTAGAAACGCAACAAAAATAGACCAGTTATTATCTAACAGCTGTTAGAAATGGAAACTGATGCAACAACATCACTGTAGTTCTATGTTTATCAAACACAAAGACAGAGATGTTTGTGCTGCTAGCGTCAGTGCTGTTACTGTCATTACCAACGAGATCGGTGGGGCCCATGCCTAGGTTTTCTCCGCGGATGGTGACTTTGGTCCAGGCTGTCCCCTCCTTGGGCGAGATGCCCGTGACCAGCGGTGGCTGACGTGGGCGCGACATGGTGACCTGAGGCGCGCGAGAACAGCGGTTCGATCAGAACCTGGACATGGAGATACGAACAGAAACAAAATATACAGTCAGAAACAGAGAAAACACCATTTCTGCATCTGATAAATCAAATGGCAAAATTACACTGCGGTTAAAACGGAGGCTTCAAGAGTCTTTTTGACCCAAGTACAGCAGGAGAGTTAAAAGTTTTAAAGCTTACATGTTCCTGTTATACTACTGATGAGTACCAGGTAAGTATCCATTATGTGCCAGGCATCTAGTGAGTACCACGCTGTATTAATTATTTATTCATGATAGATAAGCCTAAGCTGTAATAATTTTAACACCTTGATGACACTCAGTTAAATCCTAATAAATTATTGTTGTTTTTTTTGACAACACGATATTTATAGAAAGCCAGACATGTCTAGTTTAGATCCCAGAACTAGGTTTGTAGTAAAGCATGCTCAGCATTTGTCTCACGGTTATTTTGCCACCCTGCGGGTCTACACACAACGTGTGTGTTGCAGCAGCTATCTCTCAGATAATAGCAAAAATAGAGAAAGAGAGCCAAGAATGAAGTAGACAGAGAGCAGAGAGGAAAGGAAGAATGTAAACCTCACGGAGCAGGATAAATAAACCTGGCCTGCCAAATCATTCCTCATGAGCCCACACAATACTGTTCAGATTAAGGTACCAAAGAAGGAGCAACCATGCAAATCCCTTCATATTGGGGATGAGAGGAAAAGTTTCAAAAGAAAAAATGTATTTCAGTCACACAGATGTTTGCTAATAAATTACTGCCAGGTCTCAAAAAGGCTGAACCATATCAAGCCTTGGAAGCAGCTCGAACGAGGCTTCCGCTCTTTTACTCTGCAGCCAAAACACGTTGAGCACAAACAGCGCAGGCGTTTGCACGGACCGGACCTTTGGCAAGTTCATGGCAGTAGCACAAAGTTACAGCCCTGGTGGAAAGGTGTAAGTTCAGAGAAAATTAGAAAGACGAGGACAGAAGTGATATCGTAAACTGTGGTTGATAATTTTAGAACGAAACAAGCAGCCGGTGAATCAGTTTGAAGCGTAGAGTTGATTTAAAATTTTATTTTTTTATGTAACCTGTAAAAAATAAGCACTGCTCGACCTAAAAACAGAGAAATGTATTTATTAAACATTGCGTTATAAAGTTTCACTATAAAACAATCATCTCATGTAAACCTAAACATTGACTTTACATAAAACCCAGTTGGAAGAGAAAGATTTGAAGGTGAGAATTTAGTTTGTGTTGTTTTTAAATTCATAATTTTATTCCACTGCATAAAGATTTACTCAGTTTTCCCTGTCATTATCAAAAAGTTGTTTACATAATTGTTTGTTGTTTACAAAATAAATCCGTCTTAACTCACAAGATAAATTTGTTTATAACTATCTGACCATTTTGTGCTGAATGTTTTACTGTAGAGCAACTAAATATATAAACATATGGGTTCATAACTTAAGTGAAACTAGAGGAACTGGAAAAAATACAGAATGAACGCTAAAACTAGCTTAAAGTAGCAAAACAATATCCAAAAGCAGCAAATACGCCAAGTTTAAAAGCACCAAAATGCAGCTCAAAGTAGCAAAAGGCTAGCTAAAAGCTAAAAGCAGAATAGCATTAGCCAACAGCAGTAAATATTAGTTAAAGCTGAAAGCTGTAAAATGCTAGCTAAAATCTGAAAGTAATAAAATAGTTGCTAATAGCTCAAAACACTAAAATGATGACTACCAGTAAGAGCTAAAAGTAGCAAAAGGCTAGTCAAAAGCTAAGAGTAGAATGGCACTTTCTATCAAAAGCAAATATTAGCCTAAAGATAGAAGATACATTATTGCTAAATGTAGCAAAATGCTAGGTAAAAGTTCAAAGTAGTAGCTAATACTGGTAGCCCGAGCAGCAAAATGATGATAAAAATCAGAAAATGTTAGATAAAATAAAAAGTAGCAAAAGGATAGCTAAAAGTAACAAAAGACAAGCTAAAAGTAGCCAAAAAGTAGCTAAAATTAACAAAAAAGTGACTGGATAAATTATCTGCATTTAGTAAAACTGTTGAAAAATAAACGGTTCGCAGTTCATAATTTATTTATGACTCAAAAAACTAAATCAACGAAAGAAAATAATACTTCAGATTTTTATGACACCTGCTTTTAAGGAGTTTGAAACTGCACAGCCTTTAAATAAATGTATATATTTAATCAAACAAGTCACAGATGGCACAGCAAACCCCCAGATGTGGTAAAAGCAGCAGGACATCAGAACATGTATTGACCCAGAAACCTCCAGGAGCAGAAAGCTTTTCCGAGGAATGTTCTGGGAGAACAAATTTCCCTCTCCGGTCACCCTCACGTCCCCGAGTTCTAAACGAGAAACCTCCAACGGGATTTACCTCGCGCTGTTTCTGCTGCCCTGCGCTTGTCAGAGGAAATGAAGGGGTTACGAGTCCGACATGATGAAGATAAGAGGTTAACAGGCCTAAAAACAAGAGCCTGGTGTTGAACTTCATCAATCCCACATGTTTGGAAGGGGCGCAGCAGCGGCAAGCAGCAGAGACCAGGGCTCTTTTTTTTTTTTTTTTGTATAATTCTGCTTCTGCTTCCAGGAGTGTTTCTGTCCCCCTTTAACTTTTTTATCTTAGAAACACACGTGAA